AGTTCTATTCGGTATATCATTTTTATTCCAACATTTTCTGTTTCATTATTAAATCAATTAGAGCATAATTAGTGTTAAGTGAGCCGATGCGTCCTGATATTCAATTCACTATCATTTGTATCACAAAACTTTATTATACCTTCAACCGAAAAATATATATGGCCTTATTTTCTTGTGAAAATCGGAAAACAGATTAAAGGTGATTGATGGTTTTATTTTTCTTTGATTTTAACCTCAAAATAGGTTAGTTGAACCTAAACAAACCACCTGGGGAATAACGTTTTCTCAAATTTAACTTTGCCCTCATCATTCACCTGTTTTGCATGTAAGCATCGTAGTTTCTGGAAATCAAAGTAACACAATCCAAAGTTTTGCGAATAAAAATAAATTTAAATTCATCTATAGTTTATCATTTATAATTGCTTAGCAATAAACCTCAACCTAAATAGCGAAACTATGTAAGCATATTACTGGTGAATGTCACTAAAAGTCCAAAATATACCTTTTCAGTGAAAATGCATTTGGCTCAGTTATGTGTAAAATCCTAATGATTCACAGCTACAAAACTTTAATTCCAACTGCATTCATTGTGCGGTAACCAAATAAAAGATGAAGTACATGGAGCAGCCACTTCTAGTTGTATCTACCAATCCAACTAAGCTTGTAGAACGAGTTATATCGGCCGCTGCTCTAGAAGCTTGATTTTTCATGCTAGCTTGGGAACATTTACCAGTGTGGCTACATAAAGTTGTAACTAACAACATCAATAGCTCCATATTAGAAAACCTAGTCCAAACCGGCCACAAAGCCAATATTGAAGAGTCCTTCTCCATCATCTATCGCGTACCAAAGAAATTGCCAAAACATCCAGGTAACTCAATCTGCAAACAGCAGATGCTATCGTGATTCGCCTCAAATAGTCGGTGCTCTGTGTGCAGAAGAAGCACGTCCAGCAACTAATACTAACTTGGCTTTCAGTGGCGACTACAAAGTCATGAATTTGTATTATTATGTTACCTAATTTCTCTCATATTCGGTGTATTGTTGTGCTGATGTTATTGAATTGTAATTTATTGATATTACTATTGATTCGGTGTTATTTATTCATTAATTACTATCTGTACATAACTGTTGAACCTAATGATGAAGTTTTCAAAAGGAATATTCTTTGTTCAGTAACCATTCTTTTATAAATCTTTAAAGCAGACTTAGCTTTCCAAAGGAATATACTATCGGAAAGCAATGCTTTTCCACCCATGATGATCGCTGTAATCATAGATAGCTCGGCTACTTGTGGTCTGGAAGTGCCGTAAGACTATTTCTATTTTTGAGAAGACCTCCTGATTCATAACTGCTGTTTCTTTGCCAACAGATTGCAGGGATAGTAAGTGCTATAACTGTTAATCTCTAAAACCTTATATCAGCCTTCAACTCACCGGACTGCATGACGATATTGTGTCATTTGAGTTAATAACACCACCCGAAAGATAATCAGTAATTTTCTTTAGGCGTTCACTGCTAGACAGTTTCATAGACTACCAGTTGCTAAATAATTTGTATTCATGAAGTTTTACATAAATACAGAAGAAATGAGCTAATGCTGTTTCATTTTATCTGTGATGTTGGGTTAGTAATGCTATTTTTGTATGTATTTAAACAGTATGCTTATGCATTAGGATTGTTCCAGCTGTTAAGCGATTGCCACTAGTAATAGTCAAATTATCTTTCTAAACTGTCCTTGTAACTCATTAGTTATGAACCAAGTTACTTCTTAATCAGTATGAGTGATTTGACTGCATATAATCAATCTACCTTGTGACTGGCTATTCATTTTTAGTATGTTAAACTTTATTACACTCAGCTTTATCTTCATCTCTGCCCTATTCTACAGACTTAATGCAGAAAACTGAATCCTCGGAAAATCATTATATTACATTTTTGAGCATCGAAAAACAGATTGATGACGTTTTATGAAAAGGACTTATGTATTACGATGATTTTTGTCTACAGACTGCATAAATTTATCAAAAACAGACTGCAGTTGTCAACATCTGAATAAACACCGTCTAGAATAAAATCAATAACTTCAAAATTACTCATTTAATGCTTCAATCAAATGTTCCTGTTTTCACAGTGAAAAATACAGTGTCTGTATTCTTGTAGTGCAAAAGTGGCCAAAGATCAGGTGAGAAGTGTATATTGTTCAAATATTGTCCCTGTTGACATTGACAAATTTGCGCTGTCGCCTTTTAGCGTAACCGAAAATTACACATTACCCGTTTTAGTTCTATCTAATAAAGATGACAATGAACCGGTTTATCAAAGGATATGGAATGGTGTCATCTCGTCATATTTTCAATACCGACTAAAGTCATTCGTTAATAAAATAAGTGATCTTTCTTTGACACTTTCACTTTTTTCTACGATGGCAGATAATTACACTATCATTTTGTCAGATAGAAAAACACTATTTTAATAAAAAACAGACTAGTTATCACCGGAAGGCATTAACCTAGAAGCTAACCAATTTAAATGTCTGGTAGCTGAGTTCTACATGTTAAGTTTAAAAGGCAGTCATTGTACTAGATGACTCGATTCACTCAGAATTTATGTTGGACTGTTAGAGGCAATCGATGGATTTTGTGTTCACTAGCAGTAGCTGAGTGCAATTCACTGGTTTCATCCACCTAAGGGAAGGTCATCGAATGTCTTTAGGTTGCATACATGCTTTTCTGGCGTCAAGGAGTCAAAACCTAAACCCAATACTCCAAGCAACTGATACCTTAGAGGAAACACATTTATGTGGGAAACTTCAACCTCACAAATTAAGGTAGATTTAGTGTTATATGAATTTATGCAGTACAAAATAACTTCGACAACAGACGTTATTATTCAGCTATTATCTAGTTATACAACTTTACCAATCATCAAAGCTATTGCTGCAAATTTGTTGGCTGAATGTTTGATTATTCAAACAGCCGATGATCATTTCATGATTGGTATTTTTAAGTTATCCGAAGATCCGTTAATGACTGAATATGCAAGTATAGCAAATCCTTTATTGATCTCTGAAATTCTGATAAATTCTTTCCAGCATTTTGTCATGAACTGACATCAGTTTTGGGAACATTGGAAGCTGTTTCCTACGTCCTAGTTTGGGACTCTTCATCAGTACGCACCCACCGCTAGAGTTTGAACCCAGGACCCACTGGTTACAAGACAAGATTGCAGACGGTTAAGCCACTGAGACCTGACCCAATGGTCCATGAAACCCAATTTCTGCGAATTTACGACATTGCGCGGCCACTGGCTATTGTCAATAGCGGCGAGTATTTGTCCTCACACCTGACCTGCTGTACCCTAATGGTCACGAACTTCTCAATATGACCCAGGTAACTACCTACCTGAATAGAGTGCTTACAGAGGAAGAGTCCCACATTAGGACGAAAATGTTGTCCAGTGCTCCCAGGTTTTCCTATGGTTCTCTAACAGATGTCAACTCATGATGAAATCCTGTAACCAATCAAATCAAATCTCGGCAAACAGATACTTTAAATTCTTTTCACTAAGACGTATCATGTCATAGGTGAATATTAACTGGAAATGTTGACCAGTGAGATATTCTACCGGAGTGGAAAGTTTCAATCTGTTCTATTAACTTTTAATGCAGAGTTTTACATCTGGTATGAAATGAAATACTGCTATTTTTCCTAATCTTCATGTGGGAACGTGTTACTTTTTTAATTTGCTTCTGTCAAGTATTACTGGTGTGGAATGGATGAAAACATGTTAAAAACCTAATTATAAAAAGCTTAACTAGGAGAGAGCATTAACTATTCAATTTCATGCGTAATCCTTACAGTGGCTTTTTAGTTCACTGGATCGAAGAGTATTATTGCTAAAACAGATAGAACTAACTTTAAAATATTTTTTTTTGACAGAAATAAGCTATTGTTATTGGATAACTATGAGTTCCAGTTAAATGCATATACAAATACTTCTAACATAATAACAATTTTCAAAAACATGAGTTTGTTAACTCTCTTGCAAAGAAGAATAAATACAGTAAAGAAGTTTTGCCTCGTACTGTTAATCTGACTTACAGAATGAACTGATGGACACTGTTTAACTAAGCCGAGACAGAATTTTAATACATTCTCTGAATTCGATCTCATGATTTGAACAGTTTGGTGAAAATTTAGTATAATTATCACATGAATCAAAGACATTGATGAGTCGTTGAAACTCACATATATTAAAGAGTAAAACGTGAACTACATCGTTATAAGTGGTTGTTCAGTTTAAAAACATTTCCAGCGCGGTTCTTTTAGTAGATTACTGCATTCAAATCACTTTAAGTGCCTATATCGTTGGAAACTTTTCTTCTCAAAGATAATCGCTACACAAGGTTCCTATATGACGTCACTAGTTCGCATTTTCACAACAGCGGCTTATATCCTGTTTACTACACTAAACACTATTACCAATACTCAGAAATATATAAGCAGGATACGTATGAATTCTCCGAATTCAAGTCTCTGGTGTTATTCAGTAATGGTAAGAAGAGTAAACCTTCATTGGGCATGGTGTCACCAGTCACACATTATAAGACCATAAAGTATTTCAACTGTCTGGAAACTATAATAGCATTCAAAATTTTTGTTTTACTAAATCAAAGCTAATACTAGTTGATATTTACTACAAAAATGATCGATTCGAAATTGTCTTTTCAGCATTCATTATCACTAAGATTTCTTCTGAAAGCAAATAATTCAGAAGTTTTCAGAATTTATATGCATATGTTTTTAAAATAGCCCATGAAGTTGTTGATGAATGAAAATATTATGAAGTTAGCCACTAATTCATCTAGGAGTCACTAGACTAATTACAATTAATTAAAACAATATTTCATCTGGAAGAAATCTTTCTCTATGAAAATGGAAATACATGCAAATGAAGGAAGTGTGTGAAAAACACCTATAGTCTACTAAAGAACGTACCTGGACAAATTTAAGTTCGTCAAATCCTGGTACAAAACAATTCCCCTACAAGTCATAAACAGGTTTTCCTGTTTATGCTTGAACTTTGAAGTGGTTATTGAATGATTAAGATACACCACCAGCGTAATAAAAATAATGTTCAGTAAATTTTCAGTACTGTATCTCGAAAATAATAACTTTATCATTCTTTTTTAATTTATGATGCATTCTTGAACTTCCATTACACTGACAACCAGCTGCGTGTTACGTAAGAACAGTTATGACAGCAGTCGGAGTTGTGTGTTTTCTGATATCTTATGCATTAAGCATATGAAGCCAGAGTTATGTATTAAGGGGAACTGGAAAAAATACATGTAAAATGAATGAAGGTAGGTTGCTGGTTCGAGTAATTTAGATTTGATAATTCATAAGTGCATGTTAGAGAGGTACAGACATTTATCGGATAATGAAGTATATCTAAAATTTATTTATATTGGTCACTGCTGTTTCCTAAGCAGGATGTTGAAAGCCAAGACCGCATAACCAGTTGGAGATGTTTAGCACTCAGACTACAAACATATCAATGAAGAAATTTAATTCCCGATTCAGTTTTCTACTCCACTAAAACTGTTTTTCTCTTAGAAGTAACCGACTAAACAATCTTTTGGGCGTACTCCTGAATTTCCACTTGAAACGATTAGACAAACTTCAATGATTTCTCATATAATCAAACCTTACTGACGTTTGTGAAACGAGACGAGTTCATGAACAGTTCATGTGTTAAAGACCACCCTAAAGTTATTATATTGAAAACTGTCAAAGGTACATAATTACATATGTTAAAACTGATTTATCCATAAGATGATGAAATTGTCTACAATATATATCAAGAATCAATAACTGTATGTATATCTCCATAAAACTTTGAATTATTATCGTTAGTCCTTATTTGATCAGTCATCCCATTTTAGTAACTTATATTAATCTGACACTTTCAAGTGATATCTTTCATACATAAAGTCTGTCATGGAATAGAATTTAACAAATATATTCATGTTAAAATAAGGGACATCACAAAGCACTATTTCTCAAAATCAGTAAAATCATTATGGGAATTCATATTAATGCAGAACTCTCATAAATTCATGTTTAAAGAGGATAAATACACTAAGGCAACTGACAGTCATGCACAAAATCAACACCATCTTCGTCTAGATATACTTAAACATAGCTGCATCTTAGTTATTTGCATATCATAAAAATAAAAGGTGAATATAAGACAATAACCTGATTTATGACAAATTACTCTTCAGAGAATGAATTGAATACTAGCAGAAAGTTTTGAAATAAAATATCCTTTTCGAATTATTCAGAAGACCTAAACATGGAATAGTTTGTCCGAAAACTAAGATTGTATTTAGCAGGTATTCGTGACTTTTCTATGCCTATTCTCAAAACATTTTAAAGTTTTGCTTTCACATTTATCTCCCAAAAGACAGAAAACGTGTCAAGTTCGTAATAAACAGTGTGTCAAAATAACCGCTTGAAAAAGCAGCAAAAGCTAAGCAATCGCATCCAGTAACACGTAGACGGACTTTATGATAAGATATTTTGCTGAAAATAAGAAAAGTCAGTTGTAAGCGTCAGTCTGTTTAAAGTAATAAGAGCATCCATATCCAGGTCCAAAAATAATCTTTTCCGCTTATGACAAGTCCATTTTGTTATCAGTTAATTAGTTCCGACCATCTCAGCTGAACTAGAAAGGTAAACCTTGTCCGTTTAACATGTGCTGAGAAACAACTATGTGTGTATCAGGATATTTAGGTTAAATGTATACAGAGGAAAAACGAAACTTAAACTTTAAAGCAATATAATACACACCTGTTTTCCCATTTGTTAAATTATTAAATGTTAAAAGTTTCATGAAACTATGAGAAGTGAATAAAACCAGGATTATACGCCAAATACTTAGAGGTAATTACTAAACTTACACAATGAAATTAAAGTTCAAGGTGTGTTGACATTACACTCTAATGCAGATCGCCCTCCGAAACTTTTATAATGTTTTGATGAAGAGGAGATTATATAACTGAACAGTGTCCCTCAAAATGCATTTGTGCAATTCCATTAAATAACTACTGATTGCCTGTATTCCACATAGAAAATAAGTATGATTGTTAATATAAAAGCTATACACACGTGGGATTAGATAAATAAATAACATTTAATCACAAAAAGTCGTACAATTAAACAATTACATGTACTTCTGATTTAGCATCACTGAAATAAAGATCATTTTCTGAATGAGGCGTGTGAGAACTTTGTATTAACTAATCTGTTTTCTACAAAACATGATTATAAAATATGTACTATTAACTCAAATATTCAGAGACACAAATCTAATGTCCTTGCATTCTTCATTCTTACGCTTGTTCTACCCGATCAAAGATTATGCTCAGAAATGTTACGTTGGATAGCGATGGAAGAAAATTCTAACAGGATTATTAAGTAACAGGAATTTGTTTCTCATTACTATAAACAGTCAGTTTTAGTAGGTCGTATATGTGCTGGTACTATGGAGGTCACACCAGTTAATTCATTTTACAAAACACCAAATTTAAATAATTGTTATGATAGTAAATCATCATGTTTATATTTATTTGTTTGTTTATGTTGTTTAACGTTGTCACTTTGAATTTTCTATCAAAATGATAAATGACAACTACCTTTTGTTCATGAATATTCGATTTACAAGAGTTCAATCAGCATTTGATAGTATTTTAAGCCTCATTTATTCTACGTCCTTTTTTATCATTCACAACTAGAATATTATCGAAAGGTTCTGATAATCTTATAGCTCTTCTCTACAGGTAGATAGAACACCTCGGATGCTACTGAATATATAAATTCCTAACATTAGGATTAAGACTTTCTGTCTATTTCTCTTTTTGTCTGCAAAATCCCATTTAAATTTTTTATACAATGAAAGGCTACAGTGTTCACTGTCGATGCGTAAAATTAACCAAATAACCTCAGGTGTAAGTTGCAAAGAGTTGACGACAGTCAACACTCAGCAGAATAGTCAATATAATATTTCATGATCCACTATATTCTTTGTAAGTCTGAAATAAATTGAAGGTGATATACATTTCGGCAACCGTTTAAGCTTCCACCTTTATCTAATAATTCAAACTAAAACCTTAAATGAGCATACATGGTGTACTATACAAAGTGCAAAATGAATTCGACAACTAATTGTACTTCCCACAAACTACAAAAGTAACACGTGAATGCAATAACAGTAACGTGAAAAAAATGACTCTGTTGCGATTGAGTAAACTTTGGTTCATCTGTTAATCAACTTTCAGGAACAAATCTACTCACTGAGATAACTTGTGTATGAAATAATCATTAAAGTGATTACCGACTAAGTAAATACGGGAGTCTTGTTGTCTAGTCCTTATTGATGACTGCCTTCTATCAGCTAGCTTCACAGTGTGAACACCACAACTGGTTCCTCTCCATAACCATACTCTTTCAGCTGATACTGAAAGGATGAGGACAACCGGCGGTTAATTAGTCTCACATACAAAACGCACATTTTTGAATTAGTTATATGTATACATAATAGCATAGAAAAAATAACACTATAAATATACCGCCTCTACAATTCCTCCTTTAGAAAATTTAAAGTGATGTTTCTGACAGTTCTTGTAGTATTGACTGTTTGAAGACAACGAAGCGCGTTCTAAATGGTCTACTTAAGTTGACAAAATTGATTTTACTGTGATTCCAAGACTCGAATGATATTTGACTACTTATAGTAACTTATGATTATTTCTTCAACAGTGTTGTGGGACCATTGTGTTACGTGTGCACTATTTCACTAAGGAAATTAAGTGAATTCACTGAGTGACGTCTTTTACACCTATTCGAAGCCATTTGTTTTATTAAACAGAAGAAATGAAATATAATGATTTTGCAAAGAAATAGAATTTACTTACCGGGTTTTGCACTCAAATAGGCAAATAGAAATAAAAGATTGAGTTTCTTATTTCACTAGAACTGATGTTGAAACTGAAGTAAACAATATTTCATAGTGATATTGAACTGTCCACGTAGTAACACATAACCAGATAATATTTATTGTAACTTTTTTATGTAGGTTATAGTTTTAGGAGTTAATGGTATGCTTTAGATGAGAGAAACCCAGATACCTTAATGTTAAAACTGACTGTGAGGAAAGAGATAATTCTGAAATTATTTAAACAATTTTATGACCAATGCCATTGGTGGATCATTGTGATTGGTGCATTCTATTTCCCACCTTATTCACACTTTTTCTTCTTTCCCTCATTTAACTTGACAGGCTTTAACCACAATAAAGCTCGACACTGATTTCCTACTTGATGTAAAAGCTGTCAGTGTTACAGCGCAGAATTCTGAAAAGTTGATCAGACATTTTGATGAGGTTGTGAAACTAAGCTGGAGGACATTAGGAGTTTCTATCCCAAGTTACGGTTAGACTCGGTTCAATTCAAACAGTGTGATTTTTTATAAAAACACTTAGCTCAGTAAAAATTTCCAGCATTTTTTGCAACTGAATGTATAGATTCTGCAAAATAAAAGATACTTGAGTGATTGAAAAGATAAGTCGTAAAGCCAAATACCTCCTTCTCGCTAGTATATATATATATATATATACATGAAATGCAATAAAGCAATATTCTGTTTAGACTTCTGGATTCATCACCAATGTTCACTGAAATGTTTTAAATGTGTTTCGATAACCGTTGGCAGTCTAGCAGAACACAGTTACAACGGTTGCTGATACTATACACAACCATTATTTCGATAATTTTACTGCATCAACTATTTAAACGTGTATATACAAGCTTTTACGGAGTTATACTTAAACTCTGTGTGTATTTCGATGGTATAGAAACTAATAAAATTTTCCTGGAAAAAGATGAAGTTCCATCTACTGTTTAAATATCAGTCAGGTTAATTAGTAAAATATATTCAGGTGTTTGTTACATAATACTCTGTCAAACAGTCATAAGATTATTATGTTCATGAAGTAAAACTATCCATGTGACCATTTGCTTATCTGACGACTTTTATGCATTAAATATGGGATCGCACAATATGAAGATTATACTGAATATATATATATATGCATTTATAAAGTCATGAATTTCCAGTGGCTTCCGTCTCTTTCTCTCTCTCTCTGTGATAGCCCTACATGTTGTTCAAGATAACCTATTAATGTATTCTGAAAGTTGAAGCTGTCTTAAAAAAGTAATAAGCAACATGATCTTCTAAAACTCAGACAACATGTTTTTAATTATTAGTTTTGTAGGGATTGTGTTTGATTGGTTGGAGGGTTTCATCGTGAGCTGACATCGGTTAGAGTCCCGAACTAGGACGAAACAGCTGTCCAGTACCCCCAAGTTTTCCAATGGTTCTCTAACTGATGTCAGCTCATGATGAAATCCTCCAAACAATCAGATAACATGTGTTGCGTG